GGCATTGGCGACGTTATCCCTTGCTCCTTCAAGCCTCTTGATCTTACCAACCAGGACGTCAAACTGAGCTTGAGATTTGATCTTGCGATCTGCAAAACACATTTATGATGAGCATCTGTTGCGTTATAAGGAGAGAAGCTCAGATTGTTAGCTGGCGTTACCTTCGACTTCCTTCAAGGCCGAGTCCCTTTGCGCAGCCAGTTCTGTCTTGTCTCTCTCCAGGGCTTCAATTTGCTTCGCCATCTGTTCCATCCTGGCGGCTTGCGCTGTTTGAAATCCAGATGATTGAGGATGCAATTATGACAGCATAAATCAATGGAACAGATCTGGATGATTACCTTTTGATGAACCACTTAGTTCGAAGTTTGCATCCTGGAGCTGGGCGATTCGGTCCCTTAACTCTTTCTCTGTCTTTTTGGCGCACTCCTTGGTCTCATGCAGCTGGTCCCTAACTGCTTCTAGAGTTCCCAAATGAGGAACCAGCTTTTCCAAAGTTGTAGTCTTGGCCTCATTGCGAAGATGGATTCTCTGCATGATGGATCATGGTTCAGTCCTGCTAAAAAGAAAACAAAGTTACCGAAGGCCGTCACTCGGAAGACTTACATTTACAATACGAGTGGCTTCTCCGAGCGCTTTCTTCAGCTGGCACACTTCTTCATCTTCTTTTTGACGGTTTATGACTATGCCGGCGGCTTGTGAGTTCTCGTCCCACCATTTGATCAAGATAGGAGGACGAGAGTCGTCGGTCGCCTTTATACGAGGGATTTCTTCTCCGTCATCACCTGATGGTCCTGATGTGTTTCCAAGACATTAGACGGATATACTGAGGTTATTTAAATCACCATTGTTCGAGAAGACAACTAACCTGAAGATGTACCTAGCTGAGCGTGAGGTGGTCTTTGTTCTTTACCTGAAGACCCAGCTATCGAGTCGTTACCAGCTTCTGGTCCTTGCGAAGTCGTCGTCTGCGCTTCTACCTCGGGGATCTCTTGATCAGGGCCTGCGTCCGACTGGTTTCCAGTCGGGGGCTCTTGAGTTGTTGCCGTTTCAGTTGTTGCCGACTGGTTTCCAGTCGGCGGCAGGTCACTCGGATTGGCCCTATCGCCCGAAGCATGGGCGCCAGTCGGCTGGCTTTCAGCGGTCGGCTGGTTTTCAGCAGTCGGCTCGGGGTCCTTGGATATATTTTGCTCTGTCATGGCAGGATCGGGGTCTTTTCCAGATGGATCTATATCAGATGGTTTCCTGCAGAGTGTTCTTTCAGTATTTGGCATTATCTTCATCGGAAAACATGCCGAAGCGGAAATCATACCGAGAGATCTAATACCTGGAAGATGTTCTGATCTTTGGCATTGCACGGCCAGCCAATTTTTTCCTGGGCATGGTGCGCTTTGGGGGTTTATTAGGCAAGCCCTTATCCCCAGATTTATCATCGTCGCCTTCATCATCATCGAGTACCAGCTTTCTCTTGCGAGGACCTGTTTGACCAGTCAATTTGGAGGTCTGAGGTTGCGGATCTGGTCTGATCGTTGGCCCTCCACCTCCCTGCGCGGTGTGTTGGCGAGGAGACCGGCGCTGAGTGACTGGTGGATCTGACTTCATCAATGCATATCCCTGAACAAGATGCTTCCATAGTTAGTCAACTCAGCATGAAGATAAAATTATGTTCTGATCACGGTTTGAGGGTTTCCGATGTATACCTGTGGAGGCGGATTGAATGCATTATATGGCACAACTGGCAATTGATGAGAGTAGCTGACTACAATTGCATTTGAGAAGATTTTATACATCCTCTCCTTCATGATTTTGAAATCCAGGGAATCTGGTTCTTCACGGTTGGGATCATGTTTGCCGTCGAACTCGAATGCTGTGCGGGATCTTTCCTTGATTGGCGCCAGTCGGCATTTGATGAAGTGCCGAGTGATTTGCTCTCCCTGTAAGCCTTGTTCTTTAAGATTTAACATACGATCCAACAACTCCAAGGCTTGTACTGCTTCATCTCCGATTGGAAGAGAGTTCCAAGTATCTTGGTACACTGGAGGAAGACAAGAGTACCCGGGAAGAGCAGGCTCGGGATTCTGAACATAGAACCAGTTTGCATGCCATCCTTTGTTCGAAGTCTTGAAGGGCATCGAGAAATATTTTTGGCTCAGAGTTCCCCTTAGTTGGAATCCTGCCCCCCCGACTACACACGGTTTGTTCTTGTTTGGTTGGGGCTTGAGGAAGAAGATCCGGCGGAATAGGGCAAAGTGAGGTTTGATCCCCAAAAAGGCTTCACAAGCATGGACGAAATTGGCGATATGCACTATGGAATTCGGGTTTAGGTGATGCAAGCTGATTCCATAGAAATTCAAGATCCCGCGGAAAAATTTTGAGGTCGGAAGAGCAAAGCCGCCGTAGAAGAAATGCGAGAAGACCACAATCTCATGAGTATCCGGAGACGGGAAAGCCTCACCGTGCGCTGGTCGCCACCCGATGATCTCCTTGGCAGGGAGAACGCCGTGCGCCACCATCTCCTTAAGATCCTCCTCCGTTACGTCGGACGACGCCCATTGGCCTTCGAAGCTTTCTCTCTCTTCCGCCATCGGTTTCACTCAAATGTGCTGATTTGATTCGAGGGATGGCTTGGGAGAGGTGAGGGATTGAGGCGGTGGATCACGAGAAGGATTTTGATGCACTTTTCGGAGGTGGATTTGGCCGGAGTTGTGAACCCTAGTTCGCCGGCGCAGCTTTGCACTGTAGCAGGGAGTGGGGAAAATGGCGAGAGTTCCGGCGGGGAAGACGAAGCGCCGCTTGGATATCGGATTTTTCAGTTAAGGGTATCGGAGGTGCTAATGGGCCTAGGCCTGAACAATACTTCAGCCCAATACTTTTAACAGCGTGGCCCATTGTGTTCCTTAGGGACTTAGGCATATTTTGCTTTGGCAATATTATGCACACAACAGTGTTGCCCAATGCTGATGAAATCCTTTTTATGCGGTCATATAATTCTTTGGAATTATTGCAATGCAAGTTAAAAAGGTGTCCGACAGAAAGGCGTTATGCTGTTTTTGCAAGCTTTTTTAGGCTACAAAAGCTGTTTGGGTTAACTAGGAATGACTTGTTTTTATTATAGTCATTTCCTTGGCGTGTTATATGCCAGTTTTCATGGTAAATAGTCATGGCCTAGGCTATTTGACTTATTTATTACCATAATCTTTATGGTACTTGATGGGTAATCTTTAGAGTTTTTTTATTCGGATGCCTGTCAAGTGAGTTCATTCGTGAACCTTTTAGAGTGTAAACCACTCGGATTTCTTTTATTGTGGCTAAAAAGCAGTCGGCTAGCATGCCTATTTAGGCGCCGCGTACGCTTTTGTCATGTAATGCACAATAGTGTTATTATTTTGTCTTTCAACTATATGTTTAGTTTGTTAACTAATCACATAGTTGGGGGCTACACCTAATTAGGTGCATCTATTCGATGCACCATATTCTTTATCTTTTCGCCCTTTACAGTCCACTCGGCAGATTTTGGCTTGAAGAGTTTGAAGTACTCGGATTATCATCTTTGAGAGGGTTACGATGGTCGACTGCAAAGGACTCGGGGGCTACTGTGGAGATTATGGGTATCCCATATCTACACGGCGATGGTATTCGAACTGGGTACAGGATACCTAATGTAGATAGAATATCTTATCTGTATCTCGGGTTTGTTTCTTAACTTGTGTATCAAGGAAACACCCTGAGACTTAGTCGGTTACGACTGTATTTTACCTTTATCTTCATATTCCGTTAGGAATATAGATTATCTTTTGTAATCCGGACTCCTTCCAAGATATAAGGGGGGTCCGGGCGCCTCTAGGGGCATATGCTGATTTTTCCCGAATCATACAATCAATAATACACTCGGCGGATTCATCCCCGGACAGGAGTAGGGTATTACTTCTTTTATAAGAAGGCCTGAACCTGTATAAATCCTTTGTCTCCAAACCCATACACTTTCCAAGCTTGATAGCCACCCCCTTTTATTATTGTCGAAATCTAGTTTCGACAACCACGCAACATGTTTATGCATTTGAGGCATCTGAAGTGTGAGGTATATGTCTTAACTAGTGCTCCGAATACTTGTAAGGGAGTTGTTCAATTGGCGCACTACTTGGAATTCACTCCTCTACTGGAGGTGCTAGAATGGCATGTGAGTATTGATCCATTTTACCCAGTCATATTAAGTGCGCTATAATTCCTTTGCCTTCACTCATTTTCATTTGAGATTATGTACACCTGTTAAAATTTTTAGCGCGGTTTCAATTGCATTCAATCTATCTATGATATACTAAATGTTTTTTAAACCTATAATAATCAATGTTTGAAGAAAAACAAAATTGAATTGTGTTTTTCTGTCGTTCTTTTCCTTCATTGCACTAGAACCAGTGGGAATTAGATCAAGCTTTCATTGTTTGTTAGAGGGATAAAAACAAGAATCCAACTAAATGGAAATTCTTTTGGTAAATGTGTGGCTTTTGATGCGTTAGATACTGTTAGGTAGTATTTTTCGTGTGATGCATAGATTAAACAGCTAGAGCTTTCATGTTTTTGTGCTTAGAGTTTACAATTATGCAGATGTATTATTACAAGAAGTACAAATGTCGGGTTCGCAAGACCAAGGTAGCAAGGGAGGACTATCGCTTGAGCCGCCATGATCACCTCAAGACGGTCTACATGAGCGGGTTTCGGTGTTACCGTCCTCAGGAGGAGCTGGTCTATTTCATCCTTGAGAATGCCGTTGCCCTGGAGTTTATGTCCATTGAACCCCACACAATATTGGCTGATGATGATCACTGTGATTTTTCCGACATTGCTGAAGACAAGAAGATCAGAAAGTGGGCACGCCGGACGTCAGCGTGCTTCGGTAAACAAGTACAGGTCAAGAAGAAGAAGCTCGCCCAGTATTTTACAATGTAATTTGCTTTAGTTTTTGAAATTTGTGAACATTTTCAGAAATAGTTTGATCTGGATCCGCATTTTCAGAAACAGTATGTTTTATATATTTGCGAATCTTGAAGCATTGTGCATTATAGTTTTAGCAGTGGATGAACCTGCTGCCTGCTCTGAAAGAATGAAGTTTTCCTCCAAGAAAAACTGGCAAAAATATGCTGCTAAATCTATAATCATGAATGGGATACATCACGCAAATACAATGTTTGAATTGACATCACCAAGATAGCGTCGATATCACTGAGCTGATGATCATCAGGAGGATCACAAGCGAATTCCTGCTCATCGTCAAGCTCTCTGCATTTCCAGTGAACGCCATTGTTGAGTAGGTAGGTGGCAAGCCTACTGCCTCAGGATTTCCACCAGATTTTAGGCTGCATCAGGTTGCAATCATCGCAACATTAGCAAATAAAAATGTACTTAGTTTTATATTAATTAACCATAATTGTAAACAGAAACTTTCTAAAAATTAATTGTAAACAGAAAAAAAAAATTTGGCGCCATTCTTGTAGCCAAAAACGATATATAAACTAGCCAATTCTGCAGACGACGCCCAAGTTTTCTTTCCCACAGAGACAGAGAGAGACACTCTGTTTTGTTCATACTAAACTTGTTCAAGTGATGCGTGGTGCATGCCAGCACTGGCTGTCACGTTCAAGTGATCGATGCACCAAAATGATTGAACTAAAAAATTATATCAGCAACTTGTGCTGCAAAACCAATCAGGAACAACACGGTTAAGATGGACGCAATGTCCCGATTGAACCTTATTTGGTTTAAAATTTTTGTCACGACCCTAGGCGTCTATGTCATCCAAATTATGTAATCTCGAGAAAAAGTTAATCAAGGCTTGATTAAATATCTGATCATTTTCAGGTTGTGATTTGTCATTCGAGTTCCTGTGGAGTCACAGAAACTAAAACTTATTACCAATGCCAACTAACCGAAGACACAGACGAACAATTTTTTTCTAATACCCAAAGCGTGTTTCTTTGATTAAAATTAGAAAAGCAGACAAAAAATATAGCCAGCAAATTTTTATCAGTGGATAAAGACATCAATTTTATAGTTATTAGAGTCAGAACCGAGAGGTCTCCCACCTCTAATCTCATGTACGTGTTAGATGGCGCATTCATAGAAGTGGTGCGTGCACGTATACGATTTCCGTGTAATCGAAAAGAAAGAAAAAGAAACAAGCCTAGAAACGAGACGCCGAAGTCAATCTGGTCAAAAGCTTGGTGAGGATCCTCTACCATAATATCACTGCCAATGACAACACTGATATATGGGTCTCACCCTACTATTATCTTACACGTCAGTGTCTGTAGTGGTAGTGCCATTATGATAGAGGGTGTGGACCGTCTAGGCTATGCCAAATGGCATGCACATGTACACGACGTGCCATTGTATAGGGCCAATGTGAAATTGAAAAAAAAAAAGCACGCATGCATGCATGCCAAGACGTGCGTGCAGAAATATTTTGTGATCAATTTACCTGGACATGCCGGGGCAGAAGACGACGTCGTAGCCGCCGCCGGCGGCCGCGCAGGTGAACGTCGACGTCGCGTCGTCGTACGCGTAGCTGTAGGCTCGCGGGCACGCGCCCTTGAAGAACCTCGAGTACGCCGTCGCCGCGCACGTCGCCGGCGACCCGTGCGCGCCGCTGCAGCAGTACTCCGCCGTCCCGAACGCCTCGCACGCGCTCTTGCACGCCGCCACCGCTCTCCTCGCCGCCGACGCCGCCACCACCTGCAGCTCCGCCGGGCACGACTTGTTCAGGTCCATCACGCACCCCGTCACCTGGCAGCTGCTCCCGTTATTACTCGCCGCGCCGCCGCTCGCCGGCGGCGGCGTCGACGGCGCCACAAGCATCGGCAGGTTGTACCCGTCCACGAGGCTGACGTCGTAGAAGTCATCGCCGCCGCCGCCGCCGCTGCCGCCGGCGAGAGTGAACTCCGCCAGCGTGGCCGGCGGGGCGGCTCCGCGGCCGGAGCACTCGACGGCGCCCGAGCCGCAGTCGCCGGTGGCGCAGGTGAACTTGCCGGAGGAGTCCTGGCCGCAGAGCGTGCGGCCCCAGATGCGGCCGGACCAGGCGGCGGCGACGGAGACGGCGAGCGTCTGGCCCGGGGAGAGGGCGAAGCCGGTGGTGGACGGCGGCGCGACGCCGGCGTTGGAGAGGATGCCCGGCCACACCGTGTAGCCGCACCGGTTGCTTATGGTGAACGTCGCAGCCTGTGCTCCTGGTAATATATTGATCACAATTGAGTTCATCTTGATCAGTGATTTCTTGCTTAATCAAACAACATTTCGAGCACTGAATTAGAGAAATTACAAGCAAATCATGTGAACAATTAAGCTTAAAAACAGATAGCTGCGTCGTCCACTGAATTAAATTACAAATGTGCATATGCTTGATGATTTTGTTTTTGAGCTAAGCTTACCTTGGAGCAAGGAGAGGAAGAGTAGTAGGGAGAGAAAATGGAGAAGTGCTCCCATGGATGAGAAGAGACAGAGAGGAGATAGTGAACAAATCAAATGCAAAAATTTTGATTGTTCATGTCATGATCAGCTAGATAACCAAGCTAGCTTCTACTGGGCTTCACTATTTTATATCATTTTTCTAAGGAAAATAGTTCGTCAAATGAATGGATGGGTCCTTCCGAGAAACCTACAAGTTGTTGTATAAAGAAATTAAAGAGTCAACATGCGTGTGATGCGTTGCAGAATCAATCAGAGAATCAGAGAGGTTAAGACATTAAACAGATAGTACAAGAAAGGTTTAGTTGCGAGTAGGTGAGCAGCAAAAATTGTTGTATACTCGATCGTTTATACGCGAGCAGTAGTTGTGCTCTGTCAGAGATGGAGATGTCAATGCTATTCTGTTTTGACTTATGATCTGTTGCGTCAAAAAAAACTTATGATCTGTATATGTGAGGTGAGCCGTTCATCAGACCTCACCTATATCTGTATAGTAGCTAGCTGTATAGTGTATATACAGTAGCTATAAACAACTGGGCTTATATAATTCAAGATGATTTCAAGTACTATCATGTTTGTTGTACTGCAGAATAATATTGTTCAGAACTCAGAATAATAGCATGCATATGGTCTGAATTAAAAAAGAAACTCTGAACCCGATCGATCTATATGCACGTGGCATCATGTGATTGGCTGTTTCTGACTTGCTGCGATGATGCGTTGTGATGCTGTCCTGTATCTTGGCATGGCAACGGCTACTGCTGGCGAATGAAACCGAAAAATTTGGTGCAAGAGATTTCAATTTGGTGTCATGAAAGAAATTCATGCTAAGGCCTGAATCCTGGTGGGCCGAATTGTAGGCCTCCCAAACAAGCCCGAGACTGCATCGCCTTCTGTTCTGTGCTAACAGACATCATCTGTGGATAGCACTAGCAGAATCATCACAAAATGGTTGTATTGGGATGCATTTATCCCATCTTATGGTTCACAGGAAAAATTGTCCTCCCAGTTAATCGCAATTTGCAGGTGTTCTTTACACAATTCTTTTGATCCTAAAGATGATTTCAAGTGAACAAAATCCCTTTTTATAATCTGGTCACTCTGTTAAGTAGTAGGCGTATACTGCTTCTTCTTCAGCAGTTCAGTTCAAGTCATGTTTTTTTTAATTTTTTGGAAACTAGGTCATGTCTATATTTTATCTTATTCAGAGTGCAGAATGGACAGCGTATCCTGTCTCTGACACTAGAAGTGATGCAAAAACTAGAAATGCTTATTCAGGTAACTGCAAAAATTAAAAAACTTGAATCACCAAAGATACACATTCGAGTGTTCTTCAAATTAGTACTCAACGATGATGATTTGAAAAGGAAAGAGAAGAAACAATAGTTTCTTGATCATTTACAGTTGAGAGAGACAGAGCTAAAACCTATTATATAAACAAGCTAATCAGCACACAAAAGAGTTCTCTAAAATTGCCTCTCTTCGTGTTACAGCATATACACAGGATTGCAGGAGAAGAACCATGCATTAGCGGTGTTATCCCCACGAAACGCCGGCGATCACCGCAGTACTCGCCGGCGCGGCAACACTTTGCTCCGCCGCCGCCGCCGCCGGCGGCGGGATGGGGGTATGCTTGATAATACCGAATACTTGAGGGTCCCATAGGAAAACATCCGCACTGCGCCTCTCTTTTTGGCTCAATCTGCGCCGCACAAGTCGATCGAACGGCCGAGATGGTCGCGGGAGGACCTTGTTGACAATAGATGGTAAATGGAGGGCTCCTCTGCAAATATCTCGCTCCGCTTCCTCTTTTCCTCTTCGATCTGGGCCTTCTATGATGGATCCGACGGCCGACAGAATCCCACGTCACTCGCCGGCAAACCGCCGTGCCCGACGGAGCTCCGGCGGCGGAGAGCGCGGCGCAGTAGGGCAGGGAGCACCGGAGTTGTGCTTCTGCCCTACCAGCACTGGTCCGTCTCCCACGTCCGCCGCCGGAACGACGACGCGGGCGCCCGCCGGAACGCCGACGCCGCCGGGCCGGCCATGGCGCGGTCGTACCGCGCGCGCTCGTCGGGGTCGGCGAGCGTGGCGTACGCGGCGTGGAGCCGTATGAAGTCCTCGTCCCCCGTGGCGCCGGCGTCCGGGTGCACCTCCCTCGCCAGACGCCGGTACGCCGCCTTGATCTCCCCCCTGCTCGCGCCCGCCCCGACCCCGAGCACCTCGTAGTGCGTCCTCGCCGCCGGCGCCGCCACCGCCAGCGCCGCGGACGCGCGCACCCCACACCGCCCGCCGCCGCCGCCGCCACGCCGAGCTCCGGCGACGCATCCCCAAGGCGCCGCCGTGGATGCAAACGAAGCCATGTTTCCTTTCCTCCTCTGTTCACTTCTTGAATTTCTTGAATAATTCGGAATGCGTCGTCGTCGTCGAGTCGATGAGATCAGAAAAGAAAAGAAAGGTGAATTATTTATAGGGAGTTTAGGGGGTGAGGAATTTTAGTGGTGCCACTTGGACGTTGAGTTCTTGATCTTATCTCTAGAAGAAATCATTTTTTTTATTTTCTTAGAGGATTATGTGATTGTTTGCTGAGTCAGAGAGTAGTATGTGCATGTCCTTTTCTCCTTCTCCATGGCTGTTGCTTTCACAGTTTGGCGCCATGGTGGAGACCAACCTTCCTTCTTCCACGGTGAATGGTATCCATGGTGATCCATCCGTCCGATCCGAAATCGACGGTCAGGATCGTAGCCTCATAGTTTTTCCCAGTAATTTTCGCAGAGGCCAGCTGATCTCATGAGAGGCCAATGTGCTGTGGTGGATCAGATCATTGCTGGAGAAGGTGATGTTTTTGGAATGATTTTGGGGGAGGGTGATTTTCTTCTTCTTTGTGGTTATCTGGATCCAGTGCTTTTCGCCCACTAATCGGTTGAAAGTTATGCTTGTGATGACAAAGACATGACATTTTTTCTAGATTAATTTTACATTTTTTTCTATTTGGACATAGGGACCATTTTTCTTGTTTATATATGCTTGCATAGCTATACCTCCATTAAAAAATTCATAGCTAAAAGTTACTTGTATATTTTAGAACAGATGTACTGCTATTATCTTATTTAGAGAAATATAGAACCCCTATAGGATATGCTGCATGTTAATGTATTATAACTTGTTTAGAGCTGTCTGGGGTTATGCACTATGCATGCACATGCCTGACCTTGTACAATCCCATTAGTGTATCTTAGATTCTAGAAGGCTGGCATCTGCACCGACAAGATTCACATACAATATTTTCATTCTAGAACCCAATTGACATAGATGTATCATCATCATCATATACAGCATGGGGATCAATCGACAAGGGCCAGGTTGGAGAAAAGTTGCTGTCAATTATCCTTTTCCTCTAGAACAACTCTAGGACACTATTCATCTTACGGCTTTGGCATATTGGTCTCTTGGAAAGGAGAAATCCAAACGGGGTACTAAACCTGTGGGCTGTGGCCGTATTAATTAATTCGGCGGGCGGGTCGACGGCGACGGCGACGGCGACGGCGAGCGGCGGAGGAGGCGGTGGTCGGGTCTCTCTCGCCGCGTACAGGTGGGTGGTGGACATGGACATCGCCGGAATGAGCTTGTGCGAGAAATGCTGCTGCTATATCTGCATCTGGATAAGATTGCTGAGAGACTGGAGAAAGATAATCTTGCTGGATAAACTTGTTGGACCCGGCTGCAATTTGTGGCCAAGACCTCTTCTCAGTTGTCTGCTTCATCGTTTCTCTTTTGTTTGCTCTACAGCTATTATTAAGCCGTAAAAAAGATTTATACGAAACAACTGAAAATAGTTTATGAGTAAAACTTTTATGTTTGTTTTTATCGATCTAAAAGTCACTGTAAAAAATAAACTAAGATTAAAAAAAACCCTTAGAATCAACTTAAAACTAAGTTTAATTTAAATTTTAGTTGGAGTAATCTAAAAGATAAACGATGGGAGGCCAGCTGCTACAAAGTTCGGCCTGTTTGGTGGAGCTTAATATCCTGAGAAACAATTGTTGAGAAGCTAGCTGGTGAGAATCTGAAGAAGTTGGAAAACCTAGCTTTTGGCTTCTAGTTCATTTTCCAGATTCTACAACTACATATTCTAAGAATCTGGGTAAAAAGCTGGACTGTTTGGGGGAGCTTCTGGTAACTGGAGATTCTATGAGAAGCTGCAGCTGCCAGAAGTGTTAGATGGATCTCCCTCCCTAACCCAACGGCTCAAGGTGGCCTTCACCTGCGCCCTGATCGGGGGCGCCCAGCCCAATGGCTGGTGGGCCCCCGTCATCCTGCGCCATATAAAGAGGGATGGAGGCCGGGGCGACACGACACGAGGTTCGCTGCCGCCGCCATCTCCACCCGCAAACCCTAACCGATCGAGAGGGGGCGTAGCCAGTGACGGGAAGTCTCACCGCTGTACCACGTCTCGTCATCGACTACGACCGCCACTGCCACGACCGCCATCACCATCGAGCACACCGTTGCTGCCGCCCACGTCTAGCACGCGACAACAACGATGATGTCCGGCACCTCTTCATCCTCCAACACCTCAACCGGTCGGTCTCTAAACCCTCTCGTTTCATCTCTATAATGTTGTTCATCCACCCAAGAGTACTACCCGACTAGATCTAAACCTAGGTGATCCTAGAGAGAACCCTAACAAGAAGCTCCCCCAAACAGGAGTTTGATAAGTAACACTATAGGAGGGGTCGGAGATCGGCTTGGCTTAGAGAGGCGCAGCCGATGGCAGCGGAGGCCGGCTCGGCGCGGGCGGCGGAGATGGAGGCCGGCTTGGCGCGAGAGGCGCGGCCGATGGAGGGAGGCCGGACTGGCGCGAGAGGCGCGTCCGGTGGAGGAGGCCGGCTTGGCGCGAGAGGCGCGGCCGGCGGTGGAGGAGGCGACCTCGGTGCGAGGAGGAGCTGCCGGTGGGTGTGGCGCGGTCTTCGACGCACGAAGGCTAGCGGGTGGGGGCCGCCGGTGCAGGGGTCCCACATGTCGGCAGAGCTTGAGCGGTGGTGGAGCATCGGAGCGTCAGTCGTGGATTCGCAGGTGGTGAGCAGCGGGTGAAAACCTAGCCCGGCCTTGACCGGACCGACATCGATGTTCCCCCTCCTGAGGGCGTTGTCGTGCTGTCTCACCCCTCAAGGGTGCTTGCTGGGCGTAAGCCCAGTCTTGGCTCCTTTGAGCCCCGACGGACGGCGGCGGCGGTTTTTCCGTCGCTTCTCTTCTTGAAGACGTCGTTTTGGCATCCCCTCGGGGGCGATCTCGTCTGTGTTCCTTTTGTTGGTCTAGCGGCGGCCGGTCCGGTGATAGTCTTCTTCCGGACTTGTGTGTTGGCGCTGTCGGTGTGTGGGTGATGGTTTTCTTTTTCTTGTTCCTGGTTACAACCCTCCACGGTTGTAATCTTGTAATTTTTTCCTGCTCTATCAATAGAACTTCGCACCGTCTCATGCGAGTCGTTCAAAAAAAAAAGTAACACTATGATGTAGAATTTTGTGCTGAAACTTCCCCTTTACATTGCACAAATTGTAAGGCAAAAGGAGAGATGGGAACGAGGCATAGAGCATCACTTGTGATCTTGCTATATTTCCACTCAAACTCAGGGCTGTACTACTAAGCTATGTATATATGTACATGTAAGAGAATATATAGGTAGATCACACACATTTACAAGATATATATACGATCAATCAACCGTAGGAACACCAAAAGAATACCTATTTTTGTGCAGCATATACCTAACAAAATGTGGGGGATGTTGGGTGGTAAGAAGTCAGTCTATCTAACCCATCTATTACATCCAGGTCCATCGTCTTGTCAAGCTCTGAAGCTGAGTTCCTACCGAATTCCCTCGCCGGCGAGCTGCCATGGCTCCGGCATGAATCCCAGGTTCGATGTGCCTTCTTCCCTCTATTGGGTGGAGGCTCGCAGCTCTTGCTCCTACCGTAGCCCGTCCTCTTGAAGCTCAGGTGGTCCAGCGTCTCGCGTTCGGACTCCGACAACGGGCTCGGATATGTGGCGTTGTTCACTGGAGATGTGTTGAGCTTGGATTCAGGTTGAAGATCCATTCCCTTGCGGGATCGGGACTGGTCGTGCTTTGAGGACTTGCTCCCATAGCCTCTGTTCTTCACCTGGACAACTAAATGGTGGAGCAGCACCACCAGATCGAGCATGTATTGCTCCGTCTTTGCCTTATCGGCGTAATGAAGAGTCTGGACACGGGTGATACTGAGCTGGGAGCCTGATTTCTTGTTCATTTCGCAACTAGAAAATAGCAGTATGTTAGGTTATGTTGCAAGGAGCAATACTTGTTACTATTTTATCTCATGTTATATTATCAATGGAAATTCCAAGGTATATGATAAGCAAATCACGATTTGATACTAACCCAAGGTTTGCCCATTCGCCGACCCATCCAAAACCTTGATGTGCTCTGGTAAAAGTATGAAAACACAAAGGAATGAATTTTAGGGAGAAAATAACCCTAAGCTCAGAAGTCAGTAGGACTTTGCAACAAGTTCCGCCCACCTTATTGTATTTTCAGCAATCGGTAGAATCCAGCGAAGAGTTTTCTGCATTTCAGCTTTAATTTGAGCTACAGTACGCTGCACATAATGAAAACAGCATACATTTATCAGTTTGCGGGCTTTGGAGACAACTGGAAATATAAAGTCCTCAACTTTGTTAACATGATATATACAGAATTATTATCATATTAAGATTTCAATCTACATGGACTATTTTACTTTCACCTTTTTCAGGAGCAAAATATGCTTATGGAAACTAGCATGTAACAAGATCTTATTAGTGTTGAGCTAGTCATATCTAAATACTACTACTGCTTCCATGTGCATAAAGAATATAGGAAATGAACCGTTTTACCACCACAGGGCTGCAGAGAACACAAACCTCTTCTTGGGCATTAACTGATTGCAATCGCGATCTGAGAGCTGACTTCACTGTTACTGGCAGACCATGATACAGATTGTCCCTAGCACTAGGAGGAAGAGAGAGTGGTCTAGAAACCTGCATAATTACACATTGTTTTGAGAACTTTGACTCTATAATCAATCAAGTATCAGCTGTAGTGGAGATTAAGGATTAAACATCTAGACTTTGGTAATACAACCTATGCACTATGGTGTTGGAACTAGTACTCAGTAGCTAAGAAACTAATAGATACTTTATACTGACCAAACATAAAATATTCATTACAACTGACTGTTGTAGTTAACTTAAGGAAAATGAATAAATGAATGATTCATCAACATAATCAAAACTTTATGCAAATGCTGAATATTAAGATTATATATAGCAAGCATGTGAGCTATGGAAGTGGGGCATATCCAGCAGACACAGTAGATTATGAGAGCACTGAGTCTTAAGATCAGATATAGCAAACGTGTAGACGGTGAAAGTGGTACATCCAGAAGGGATGAAAAACATGGGTATGGATCATCAAAAGTCAAAACAACTTACAATATTTTCAATTTGATTGATTATGTTCGCATAATGTAAGGCTAGACCGCAGGAACCTAGTCTTTTGTTTTGAGCTTGCTCTGAATTGAAAAGGTCAGCACCTACAGAAACTTTTTTAATTAGAGAGGTGTTAGCATATCGTCGCACAAATTTTAAGCTACTGCAAACCATCCAGCTGAGTATCACCTACCAGCTTCACTGAATGAATCCCGAATTTGCTTATGTAAAAATACGACAATATCAACAAGCTTCTCCACAATCTGGATAGACAATGACAGAATTCAGTGTTAGCATTCTTCAAAATGAAAATGTGTGGATATTATGAGCAGAGTATTCATCAAATCTCGATTGCTTAGCAATGGGACATAATCCAATAAATGCAAACACGTGGTATGAAGTAATGAAGCAACAGAGCAAAATGTGGCTTAAGGAATACCGTCTCTAAAGTTCGAGACCACAAAGACTTCTTCTTGAGAGTTTTCACAAGCTTTCTCTGGCGCTTTAGTTCACTATGCAAGATCATAACACTCTCTGCCAAGAACAAGAAGATTGAAAACAATAAGCATCACCATTTTCTATACTTTGAACAACATTGTGTGAAAGAAGCAAACATAAAAAAGAAGACACACAAGGAAAACCACTTCGTGACCGAATAGGTTACATGATACGTCTGTCCATTTTAAGTATTTTAAAGAGCAATCTACAGCACGTCACTAATTAAGGTGAGCTAATGGAAAACCCTCTTGCTTAAATTCTAGCATCTATCAACAATATATTTTCTTAAAAATGACATCAGTATAACTGTACCACGTCTGGCTGCTGGCACTGACTCTTCTTCATGAAATTTTCTTTGAAAATCCTGCTCAAACCTGTCCAGCGCATGCAATTCATGATAGAGTTCCTGCAATTACAAAACAAGCCCATCAGCATATCCTTCGAACCAGCACCTCAAAACTGTGGTTCTATGTTATGCAACGAGACTTAGTCCTTCATGATAAGATATTAAGGCCTAATGAAAAATTCTTGAATCCTGATTCCTACAGCAGTTTAACCGTTCAATAATTTGAAGGGAGAATAATAATAATAAATTAATGAATCCTACATCTTGACTCCATAAAAATTATAAGTATTATCAATTACATACGGCAAAATACAGAAATTATCAAGTGATACATACAGAAGTATTTTGAGCCAAATTGATCAATTGCTGGATAGTAGTTTCCATATGCTCTTTTGAATGATCCTGAGGCGCAAAATCTGTCGTTAATCTGCACATCAGAATTCACAGCAACAGCATAGTGTTAAGTACAGGAAGTGCTGATATGATTGTAAATAGCATCTTAAATGAAAAGCATACTTCTCAGATTCTTACTTGTTGAAATAGCGTCCTAAGTTATGCCATGTTGGGTCTTTACACAGGTTACCAAATCGAATTACTTCTCTTGAAAAGATGTCAAGTTCATCCCTGTAGAATTCCATCAAATCCATGTCAGCCAATCGCATTAACAACAAAAAAAAAAAGGAACGATAGGACAACTTCCTTCTTGAACCAATCATACCTTTTGTCAACATAAGCAATATACAATAGTTCACTGGAATTTGAGGAGACCAATATTTGCACTCCATCTGAACGCAATATTTCTTCCTTCAATTCCTTTATACTCGTGTCGGAGCAAGATCTCCACAAATTGGAAGCTTTAGCTATTGTGTTTGCGACTTCAAATGCTAAAATACAGACTCTATTGCCTCGATTTGTTCCCCCAGAGAGAAATCCACTGCCATGATTTAAATTTGTCATGCTACTCCCGAGGGTATCTAACACCTCGACAGCAGCAATGCTGGCTCTTCCTAAAAGTGTACCTGTTTCTGGTACCTGTCACAACTTAGTATGTCAGAGTTAATATGAAAGGAAAAGACTACTCTTATCTTCTAATGATATAGTCTCCGCTTTTGCTGCCTTCAATTTCCAATAGAAAGACAACTAGTTATAGCACAAACAAAGCAAAAGGAAGAGCGAGAGAAACGTATTATCCCCTCTAAGAAGAATAATATCAGATGTTTCGTCGTAACAAAGAACCTAAGAAAGAAGGTATATTTATTTGAACTAGCAGTGCTTTTCCTGTCAATCTTATTGCAAAATTATGAAACAAGCCAATTTGAAGTGCAAGCTTTTCGATGAAAACATAGACTCAATGAATGAAACGGGTGAAATGAAACAAAATGGGGAGGTCACTCCTCTAAGGCTATTCCGTAGTCCTTTCACTTTGGGGGAGATGGCCTCCTTTCATTTTTCTGATGATATATAGACGATCACCCCTGATGCGCATTGGCCAGATCAAAGTAGGCTGCGCATTGGTGTATTTCTTAACCCGATACTTTAGTAACCATCTGTCTATATCTTTTTCCATCTCCAGGATGACTGCCGAATCACTGGGTGCCTGAATTATAACACTAGTAACATGCTGAGAGTACATAAACAAAGTCAGCTTCTTTCCAGTTATACAGTCTGTACTTTGTCTCACTTATTAGCTCCTGCACATTTAGTGTTTTCTTCCAAGTAGAAGCTAAGCAGATCACTCATGTCTTTGCAAGAAGAAAAGTGAAGGATGTAATTTCCCAAACTCCATGGTTGGCATGGAAAAGTGGTCAGCAGGAAGGAACAAAAGCAGAAGCTCATGGTTGGGTCGCTGGCTTGACCAGTCCAAGAAGTAGACTCAGGCTGACAGCAACGTGAACGTTAAATAAGCACGGCAGTTCTTCACTTATCTGAGCAAAAGGACGGAATCCTCCTCCTATAGGACAATAGTGCTTACAATATGATAAACCAAGGGCCGCCAAGATTGACTCTGCTGCATCCTACACGGACTTGATGAATTTTTGTGTGTGTAAGCTGTTGGTTTTCACTTGCTGTATGTATTGTTGTGTCCCTCTCTTTCCCCTGATCCGCTTAAAGAATTCATGCAAAGATGCAGTGCAGATTCCCCACGGTTTGTGAAATTCTGCATCCTCAGACCACTGCCAATCTAGTTTGATTTGAGTTAATCAAAGCGGAGACTGAAATACGAGAGAGCAGCTTCAGATGAAGTCCCCATGGAAGCCTTGACAGCGAAAGGCAGCTCAATTAAAGCTTCACAGTGATGCTCAGTTTGACGGCTTCTCTGAATTTCTGAACACGGCGGCGAGAGAAGAAACGCAGCAAAAAATAACATCAAATCAATAATACCCCCAACTTGTGATTTTGAGGAATTGGACGTGGAAGGCGGATTGAGATTTCGAACCCAAACAAAGCGCTCCGTTTGCGGCAACGCGTGTTTGGTGCATCAAGTCGTGGAGAATTCTCACCGGCTGGCTACCTAACTAAGCAGAAACAAATCGCGAAGTAGAGAGCAGCACATGCAGCTGTCCGATGGAAGTTGCAGGCAAGCAGGGCGGAGAGTTGAGCTGAAGCACATCTCGATGGATCGATGGAGCTCGAAAATTCCAACACATGCAGCACATGATGCATAGAAAATTACGGTGGTAGTAGTAGTAGAGTACCTTGTGGGAGGTGAGTAGCTTGGGCGGCGGGATGGCGAGCTCGCCGGAGTCGAAGTCGCCAGGGCCGTAGCGACCCCGGCGCGCCTCGTAGGCGGCGGCGAGCGGCTGCACCGAGCGCGGCGCGGCGTCGTCCCGAAACCGCCTGGAGCACACGCACCCCATAGCTCTAGCTTAGACGTACAGGTGCTACTAGTAGTATCTCAGCACGTATCAGCCTCGTCGGCGGAGCAGCAAGCTTAGGTTTCGCAGGTGGCGGAGGTTGGAGTGAGGGAGACGACGGTGGTGGTGGTGGGAATGGATCGGATCGGCGCGCGGGATTGGAATTGGAAGGGAAGAGCAAGAGGAGGAAGAGGGGGAGGGAAGGAAGACCGAGAGACGAGTAGTCGAGGAGACTAGTTGTGTTGTGTCGTCCTGACCATGCTGCTGGTGCTCGTCTTGTTGCGTTCGCATCCTTTGACTTGTTCTCTCTCCCGCGCCCACGCCACGCTCACGTACGCCACGCGCCTCCCCCTCTCTCTCTGCAAGGCCTATTCGGTTCTCCACTTCTCCACCACAGTTTACCGGAGAAACTATTTTCATCATCTCGTTGTTTACATGTAACTTTGTTATGGAAAAAATAAAAAAAATTAAGAAGATGTATTAACATGTGATATATCACTCTACAAACATGTATGTTCAAATTTAACTTCTACATCTCGCAACGAAAAAACAAACGAATTTATTTTTTTTTGCGAGATGTAGAAGTTGCATGTTTGTGGAGTGATATATCACATGTTAATACATCTTCTCAATTTCTTTCAAATTTTTTCATAACCATTTGAGTGATGTGCAAACAACAAGAGGATATCCCCTCGAGGGGTGAAAATCCACTCCCCAGTTTACCACTGCGCTAAAAATTATGGGGCTCTTTTGTTCTCTACCTTACTTCCTCCGTCCCATAAAAAACCAACCTAGTACCGGATGTAACATATCATATCCAGATTCGTAGTACTAGAATATGTCACATCCGGTCCTAGATTCGTTTTTATGAGACGGAGAGAGTATCTACCAAATTCTTGGCATGTTTTGGTATTACCAATTTTTTTTTGTAAGGTAGAGATTTATTATACATGTTTGGATTGCTACTAATATGTTGCCAAATGTTGATGATACAGAGAAGAAGACTCTAGATTAGTGCCAAATTGATCATAGGAATAGCCAAACAATTTGGCTTCAATCCAAACCTATACTATTACTATTGAAGGTACCAATAAATTGGCAGGGCACATTTTGGCATCAATCCAAAATGGTCATATATCAGATTTACTCCTTCAGTAAAAAAAAGTCTAACCTAAAATATCAAATTCGTTGTAATAGGATATATCATATCCTATCTTAGGTTGGATTTTTTTTAAGGAGAAAGTATCTACTTACTACTACTGTTTTTGTTTTATATTATAAGTTGATGTTGAACTTCTTTGGATTTAACCAAAATTTTAAAAATATAGTAATATTTTTAATTAAAATAAACATAGACATATTATCAAAATGTATATTTAATGTTAGATTTGATGAAGTTAATATGATGTTTTAGATGTTACTTTTTTTTTACAAACTTGATTAGAAAAATCAAAACAACTTGTAATATGAAAATGAATAGGGTAAATTAAGTCGATTAATTTCTTGACCATCATTTAGAAACTTCAAAATATTAATAGTAACCAATTTTTTTGTTTCAAAAGCTTAATATCGGCCTGTAGCCTAGTGGTTACAAGAGCCTCAGTAGCACCTAAGGTCCTGGGTTCGACTCCCCATGGGAGCGAATTTTCCAGGATTTATCGGCGTTGTGCTTTCAGTGGTAGGCGACGTACCCGTCAACAGCTAGGCGCCTGTGGTAACTTCGTCAATCTCTCCAGGATTTGCCGGCCCAGTCCAGCCTAGTCTTTGAAGATGCTCATAGGGGTAGGGTTTACTTCGTCAATCTCTCCAGGATTTGCCGGCCCAGTCCGGCCCAGTCTTTGAAGATGCTCATAGGGGTAGGGTTTGCGTGCGTGTGTTCATAGGGCAAAAAAAAGAGCTTAATATATAATTTGTTCTCATAGAATAAAAATTCTCTAGGAGATATTTTTACTACTACTGCATACTCCTTCCATTCAAAATTAAAAGAATCAATTTTTTTATTATAAATCTACACATAGTCTATATTTAGATTTGTTGTTGAAATTATTTTTTTTTTGGATGAAGGGTGTACTGTTACAGATACAGCAAGATTAAAAAGTCTTGCTGTGAGTAATACTGTTGCTGAATGTTTTTCCTCTGTTATTATTAATTTATATTATTATTGTCGATGGTAGGATTAGACCACGTATGCTAAATTGCTGGGTTTAGTCTCCGAACGAAATGGTAGTTATGTGTGCATAGTTGAAAATTGGATTTGGCTTCTTCAAAACCGAAACACGCTTAATTTTGACCTTAATGCAGGTACCGTCAATGGAAAAACCGCACGTGTCCTTTGATCACAAACAAAAGTCATTGTTCTCCTACTATAAATAGGACTGCATATGCTTGTCAGATGCGTAAAGTATATACTATCGGTTTAGCTTTCTAAAATCTCATTAATACTATGATATTATCATTGTTATTACTTTCCCTGTTTCACAATGTAAGTCATTTTAGCATTTTCCATATTCATCTTAATGTTTTTTTTAGAAATCATCTTGATGTTAATAAATCTATATAAATATATATAATGTGAAAAATACTAAAATGACTCACATTGTGAAACGGAGGAAGTATTATTTTAACCATCAACCCAACAGTACTCTCTCATTCTTCTGGTTTACTCTTCCTCATAAATTTTTCTCCCCATATTAATGAAAGCTATAGAAATTTTTAAATCCTTACCTTTTTTTTCTTTATGCCGAAGAGAGTATATACTGCAGAGTAGTATGTCATGTTCTTTTTATTATGATTTTTGTTCTTAATTTAGTGTGAAATTTATTATACCCTCCGTCCCAAAATACAACAACCTAAAACCGGATGTGACTACGCTATATTATAAGACGGAGGGAGGCGTTCCATTCAGTTATTGGTTGCTATATCATATGACAGAGGGAGTAGAACAGTAAATTGATACGGATGAAGTAGCTGGTAAGCACGTATAGGAGTAACTAATTGCAATCAAAGCGTTTGTGCTTACCAACCAGTATTAGGCTCTGTTTATTTCAGCTTAGGATTATTATAATCTAGATTACTGAGTCAGATTACTATAAGCTAGATTGTTATAATCTGTAGTAGAATAAGCGGTTAATTGTTTCTTTCCTACATTATTAGAGCCTAAATTATTGGGTTTGCAAGTCTAAAGAGGGAGTGGGTGGCATGGTGGGTAATTTTTCACCCAATAATCTGGAAAAAGCTCACCTAAATGAGCTTATTAGATTATAATAAGCTGTGCTCCAGATTATAATAAGCTACTTTAATAAGTTGTATGTTTCTTTCAGCTTACTCCCAATAATCTGGATTATAATAATCTCAAGCTGAAAGAAACATTGCCTTAGAAGCCATTATATTATTCAGCACATATTAGAAATCGATCATGACAAGTGAATATATATTTGAACCAGCTCGGTCAGTGTCATTAGTCGCACGGCAAACGGAAGTTTAAACGAACAGAGATTATAACTAGCTAGGTCTAGGTGGGCACAGGGACGATGTTCTTAATTAGGTCATTAGGTGAATCATCTCAAGAAGTTAAGTTAAGTCTGTTTATTTAATCCGGTCAAGGATTGCAACCGTAATAATGTGTTGACTACTCGTACATCCAGCTGCTAGCTTGCAAATATAAATTGTCGTGTCACATCCCAACGACAACCACACTCTGGCAGCAGCATCGTCGTAGAATTCAACATTGCACACTGCAGAGGTTGTTTCTTTTCGGTTTATTTTTTTCCCCATATGTAGTGGTCATACACAGCTGGTAGACTGATCTCGATATTTTGAAAAGGAAAAGGAGAAATATTCCTTGCATGTAGTAGTTGTTTGTATGTACTATACTGTTGCAATTCTCCCATTGGTGTATACAAATACGAAATTCATGTGTTTACTGTTGCACTATTATCTACAAAGGGCTACCAGAGCAGGTATAATAGCAGGCTATAAAGCCAGCTGTAAACATATTTTAAGTAGATAAATGAGGAGAGAGAAGAGCAGCGGGCTATAGACTGTAGCACAGACTCCAAGACGCTGTGTGTATGACAGATGGGACCAGATATTAATAGTGTACTATTGTATGAATGAGCTATTAGATTGGCTATAAATGAATTGGAGCTAGTATTTGGCTATACTATTAAACTTGCTCTCATTGTCGGGTTCCCAATCGACACTAGAATTTTAGCAATGATATGATAACTCATGGGAGGAGCCTTATAGCTAGGTAGGTGTTGCAGAGGTCTTTTTAGTCCCGGTTAAGATTATTAACCAGCAAAGACGACACATATTATTGCATGCTAAAACTATTAAACACAACTAAACATGTTGTATCAAGATAGATTTCCCATCTAAAGTATTATGGACACTGTAAAATCAACACTAGTCTCTCTAATCACTTTAGGGCCGTACCAAAAATAGGTTTCCCGTCTAAAGTATCGTGGATACAGTAAGACCAACACTGATAGTCTCCTCATTAATCAATGCCGATTAATACTGCCGACACTGATGGGGTATTATTAGTGTCAATCCTTGAACACATATAGATAAGATTGGTTTTTTCTTTATGGAGTTGTACTTGTGACTTGTGAGACACGCACTCCCTCCGTCTAAAAAATCAACTTTGTAATAGTATGTGACATATTCTAATATAACAAATATTGATATATAGGATATCTTATATTCAGAAGTACGGTGGTGGGTGGACGTTATCTGTGCTGGTTTTATGCAAATCAGCGCTGGTCAAGCGGTCTAATTAGTGGAGTCTTGTGGATGTGTTGGCATCATCATATTTATCACCATCTCATGCATACATCATTGCATCCATGTCGATTATACTCCCTCCATTCACAAAAGTTACACCTATTATTTTTGTCACCAAGAACAAGAAGAAATTAAATCATTTTAGATGTTACAAAATTAAGAAGTGAATGCAA